ATTGGATCTTTACATTCTAAACCAATCGAGCACAAAAAATAATGGTGAACAGAGTTTAATCGGAGGCTGCCATAGTGAAGAGCTCTGTTCCACAAGGCACAGTACTCTCCCCCCAGTTCCTCATCCTCATATCAGACAGAGACAGAGATGTAAACCATATCACTGTATCATCCTTTGCACAAGATACAAGGATCTGCATGAAAGTGTCAGCCACTGAGGACGCGGTTAACCTCCAAGAAGATATAAACCAAGTTTTCCAGTGGGCAACGGAGAACAATATGATTGTCAATGAAGACAAGTTCCAACTACTCCGTTATGGAAAACTGGAGGAAATAATAACTAGGACTGAGTATACTACAAACTCTAATCAAGTAATGTGAAGGAGCTGGGTGTGGTAATATACGAGGGTGCCATCTTGAAGGATCACAACAGTGCCACTATCACCTCTGCGAGGAAAATGATAGGATGGATAATGAGAACTTTCTAAGCACGAGATGCTAAGCTAATGATGATCCTTTTAAAATTACTTGTTCTCTCTAGACTGGAATATTGTTGTACATTAACATCTCCATTCAAGGCAGGTGAAATCGCAGACCTTGAGAATATACAGAGAACCTTTATTGCACATATAAGTTCCATCAAACACCTTAACTACTGGGAACGTTTGGAAGTACTTGACTTGTACTCACTGGCACGCAGGCGAGAGAGATACATCATAATCTGCACCTGGAAAATCCTAGAGGGCCCGAACTCTAATCTGCACACAGAAATACTCCCTATGAAAGCAAAAGTCTAGGCAGGCGATGCAAAATACCCCCAATGAAAAGTAGGGGCACGATTAGTACACTAAGAAAAAACGCAATAAGTGTCCTGAGCCCAAGACTGTTTAACAGCCTCCCACCATGCATAAGGGGAATTACCAATAGACCCCTGGCTACCTTTATGAGGGAGCTGGACAGATACCTAAAGTCATTGCTGGATCAGCCGGGATGTGGTTCGTACGTTGGACTACGTGGCGGCTAGCAGTAACAGCCTAGTTGATCAAGCTCTGATCTACCGGGAGCCCTGATCACGGACCAGGCCGAGGGGATATTGATCCCTGGAATGCCCTCCAGGTAAACTCAGGTAGGTAGGATGCGACCCTCACCAGTTGACTACCACCCAGTTACCTACCTACTGCTAGGTGAACATGGACAGCAAGTGTCTTAAAGAAACATGTCCAATATTTCCACCCGTACCGGGGATTGAACCATGTACTTCACTGTGTGAGCTGAGTGCGCTACCAACCGAGCTGCAGGACTCGCTAGTGTGATTCAGACGGGGTATTAAAGTTTGCCTATAGTGTTTACCAGATTCCTTGACTCGTGAATAAATGATCCCGAAGGAAAAGGGGCAAAAAATCCCTTAGGGTCTGCAAGGAACATCCCTGAAATTCCTCAGGCTTGTGAATATCATTCTTCCTTTGTCATGTATCTTAGCAACCATACAAGACACTACCTACCTACCTATGTTGTTTCTTCTTGATCAGTAATGGAAGTGTCGTCGCCCAAGTTACGTTCTGTTGCTGGTGTTATGCTTATCGTGCCCTGGTCGATGGGCATGGTTGCATGGGGGGGACTCGCCTACCTGCTGAGAGAGTGGCGGATGCTGCAGCTCACAGTCTCTCTCACCTGCTTCATCTTCCTCCCCGTATTGCTGTAAGTAGTGGTAAATGATGCTCTCTCTCTCTCTCTCTCCTCTCTCTCTCTCTCTCGCTCTCTAGAAGAGTGTCTTGATGTTACTGAAGAACTCTTAATTCATGTAATTAGAACTGCTCTCTACTGCTTTGAGTTCATTCCCCTACAAACATTGATGGGGATTTTCCACAGGTTCATTGACGAGTCACCAAGGTGGTTGGCCGTGCAGGGACGTCATCAACAAGCAATTAAGGTACTGCAGAAAGCTGCCCGCTGGAACAACATCTCTCTGCCTCCCGAACAACAGCTACTGGACTGTCTCGCTGGTGAGGGCGAGAACACTCGACGGGTGAGCTACCATGAATAAACCTGTAAAAAAATGCTCTGAAACTGAAAATTAAATAAAATACTGAGAATTTGATGAGTAAGACACATATGCAATAGTTGGGTATCTTTAATGTTGAAACGTTTCGCTCACACAGTAGACTTCTTTAGTCGAGTACAGAAAGTAGGCAGGAGCAGTAGAGATGTGAAGACACCCTCCACACACCCCACAAACACCCCACACACAATACACACTCCACACACCCTACATACACCACACACCCTACATACACCACACACCCTACATACACCACACACCCTACATACACCACACACCCTACATACACCACACACCCTACATACCCCACACACCCTACACACCCCACACACCCACACACCCCACACACCCAACGCACCCACACACCCTGCACACCTCACACACTCTACACACCCCACAAACCTCACACACTCTACACACCCCACACACCCAACACACCCACACACCCCACAAACCCCACACACCCCACACACCCCACAAACCCCACACACCCCACACACTCCACACCCCCACACACCCCACACACCCCACACACCCTACACATCCTACACACCCCACACACCCAACACACCCTGCACACCCTCACACTCTCTACACCCACACACCCCACAAGCCTCACACACTCTACACACCCCACACACCCAACACACCCCACACACCCACACACCCCACACACCCCACACACCCACCACCCCACACACCCCACACACCCCACACACCCTACACATCCTACACACCCCACACACCCAACACACCCTGCACACCTCACACTCTCTACACACCCCACACACCCCACAAGCCTCACACACTCTACACACCCCACACACCCAACACACCCCACACACCCCACACACCCCACACACCACACACACCCCACACACCCCACACACCCCACACAACAAATACACACTCCACACACCCTACATACACCACACACCCAACACACCCACACACCCCCACAAACCCCACACACCCCACACACCCCACACACCCTACATACCCACACACCCAAACACCCTACATACCCACACACCCTACACACCCACACACCCTACATACCCACACACCCTACACACCCACACACCCTACACACCCCACCACCCTACATACCCACACACCCTACACACCCACACACACCCTACATATCCACACACCCCTACATATCCCACACACCCTACATACTCACACACCCTACATACCCACACCCTACATACCCACACACCCTACACACCCACACACCCTGCATACCCCACACACCCTACATACCTCACACACCTACATACCCACACACTCTACACACTCACACACCCTACATACCCCACACACCCTACACACCCACACACCCCACACACCCCACACACCCCCATACACCCCACACACCCCACAAACCCCACACACCCCACACACCCCACACACCCCACACACCCCACACACCCAACACACCCACACACCCTGCACACCTCACACTCTCTACACACCCCACACGCCCCACAAACCTCACACACTCTACACACCCCACACACCCAACACACCCACACACCCCACACACCCCCACACACCCCACACACCCTGCGCACCTCACACACTCTACACACCCCACACACTCTACACACCCCAACACTCTACACACCCACACACCCCACACACCCCACACACCCCACACACCCCACACACCCCACACACCCCACACACAATACACACTCCACACACCCTACATACACCACACACACAACACACCCCAACACACCCACACCCCACAAACCCCACACACCCCACACACCCTACACACCCACACACCCTACATACCCACACACCCTACGTACCCACACACCCTACACACCCACACACCCTACATACCCACACATCCTACACACCCTACATACCCACACACCCTACACACCCACACACCCTACATATCCACACACCCTACATATCCCACACACCCTACATACCTACACACCCTACATACCTACACACCCTACACACCCACACACCCTACATACCCCCACACACCCTACATACCCCACACACCCTACATACCCACACACTCTACACACTCACACACCCTACATACCCCACACACCCTACACACCCACACACCCCACACACCCCACACACCCCACACACCCCACACATCCCAACACCCACACACCCCACACACCCCACACACCCCACACACCCCACACAACCCACACACCCACACACCCCACACACCCCACACACCCCACACACCCCACACACCCACCACCTACAACAACACACACCCAACACACACCACACACCCCACAAACCCCACACACCCCACACACCCCACACACCCCACACACCCTACACACCCACACACCCTACATACCCACACACCCACACACCCTACATACCCACACACCCTACACACCCACACACCCTACATATCCACACACCCTACATATCCCACACACCCTACATACCCACACACCCTACATACCCACACACCCTACACACCCACACACCCTACATACCCCACACACCTACATACCCCACACACCCTACATACCCACACACCCTACACACCCACACACCCTACATACCCCACACACCCTACATACCCCACACACCCTACATACCCACACACTCTACACACTCACACACCCTACATACCCCACACACCCTACACACCCACACACCCTGCACACCCCACACACCTTACACACCCACACACCCTATACACCCACACACCCTACACACCCCACACTACACATCCCACACACCCTACACACCCACACACCCTACATATCCCTGCTCACCAAACTCAACCCTATGATATGACTTATCTAGTTCTGGTAAGTGATCTACAGTGATGCAAGGACCAAGTCAGGCGAACGTTCATCTATCAAAGGCTGGAGAGGTACACAGTTGCAGTCTAGTAACCCAGACAATAATGTTACTACAAGAGAGATTTTATGTACCCTGCAGCCAGGTCCTGGTCAGAGAGCTGTGCTTGACACTAACACAGGATGGCAGCTGGGAGTCACGTCCTTCTCCTTAGACTCTTTCTTGAGGATTTAAAATCGTGAAAATGTTCAAACCTTTTAGCAATGTTAGTTTGGTACATGTTAACAATAAGTTTGAAGGTTATCATACTTTTGCTTAATTATAATTATTTAGTTTGGAACACTTGGACAGAATTATATTATTGATCTTTGTTTCTATAAATACACGATACAACTTATACAGACCATAGCTGACATCCTATATAGAAAGTCCCTTGTTATGTAGAGCATTTCGGGGAACTTGGGTTTTGTCCCAGGATGCGACCCACACCAGTCCACTAACACCCAGGTACCTATTTTACTGCTAGGTGAACATGGACAACAGGTGTCTTTTAAGGAAACACGTCTTAATGTTCACACCTGTACCGGGGATCGAACCACGGGCCTCAGTGTGTGACCTGAGTGTGTTACCAACTGAGCTACGGACACGCATATATTTGTACCTAATTAATGTGAAACTATCAATAGACACATTCAAGATTGCACAAATCAACAGTAATTTTATTTTTGTGTAACTGGATGGTACCGATCTTGCCAGAAATTGTATATTACATCAAAAAAAAAAATCGGTATCTGAAGTTTGAATTATCGTAGGAACCGTACGATAAATAGCTAAATGTATCGTATATCGTATTAAGGGTAAAAATATCCTTCTGGCTAGCTGTTCACCTCTTTAAATATTATTATGATTATAACCATTATTATATCAATTATTATGATCAGTTGTGATCTATATATCAGAACAAAATTCATATCTAAATATCTTATATATGTTTTATGTAACATTAATAATAATAATAATAATAATAATAATAATAATAATAATAATAATAATAATAATAATAATAATAATAATAATCGTTATTGCTACAAGTACATAATACAAGTATTACCGTCCAGGAAGACATCACTGACAATACTATATACAAAGTTTCTGGTTATGCAGAATAAGGCAACTTATTCTGTCCCCAGGATGCCACCCACACCAGTCAACTAGCACCCAGGTACCTACTTACTGCTAGGTGAACAGGGACAGCACGTGTCTTGAGGATACGTTGGATATGCTTCCTCACACTATTACCCCTGTTCACCGAGCAGTAAGTAGGCACCTGGGTGTTGGTTGCATCCTGGGGCAGAGTATACCTCAGGTAGACCTAGACTTAAGACGAGCTGAGACATAACATCTCTCAGCTCCTATATATATATATATATATATATATATATATATATATATATATATATATATATATATATATATATATATATATATATAACTAAGATAAGGCGATAATTTACAGGTGGAAGGTAACAGACGGAAGAACACGAGCACCAGTATGATTCTGGCCATCAAGAACCTCCTTGCAGAAGCTACGATTCTTTTCAGGTAACAATATAAATAATTTTGGGAAAAGTTCAGTTTCTAGGGCAGTTCTGCCTGGGTGGCCCGTGGCCAGGGTGGCCCGTGGCCAGGGTGGCCCGTGGCCTGGGTGGCCCATGGCCTGGGTGGCCCGTGGCCAGGGTGGCCCGTGGCCTGGGTGGCCCGTGGCCTGGGTGGCCCGTGGCCAGGGTGGCCCGTGGCCTGGGTGGCCCGTGGCCTGGGTGGCCCGTGGCCTGGGTGGCCCGTGGCCTGGGTGGCCCGTGGCCTGGGTGGCCCGTGGCCAGGGTGGCCCGTGGCCTGGGTGGCCCGTGGCCTGGGTGGCCCGTGGCCTGGGTGGCCCGTGGCCTGGGTGGCCCGTGGCCTGGGTGGCCCGTGGCCTGGGTGGCCCGTGGCCTGGGTGACCCGTGGCCAGGGTGGCCCGTGGCCAGGGTGGCCCGTGGCCTGGATGGCCCGTGGCCTGGGTGGCCCGTGGCCAGGGTGGCCCGTGGCCTGGGTGGCCCGTGGCCTGGGTGGCCCGTGGCCTGGGTGGCCCGTGGCCTGCTTGGCAGCGCTCTCTCCTCACACACTGAGTGTCCGTTTACCTGGAGTTTACCTGGAGAGAGTTCCGGGGGTCAGCGCCCCCGAGGCCCGGTCTGTGACCAGGCCTCCTGGTGGATCAGAGCCTGATCAACCAGGCTGTTACTGCTGGCTGCACGCAAACCAACGTACGAGCCACAGCCCGGCTGGTCAGGTACCGACTTTAGGTGCTTGTCCAGTGCCAGCTTGAAGACTGTCAGGGGTCTGTTGGTAATCCCCCTTATGTATGCTGGGAGGCAGTTGAACAGTCTCGGGCCCCTGACACTTATTGTATGGTCTCTTAACGTGCTAGTGACACCCCTGCTTTTCATTGGGGGGATGTTGCATCGTCTGCCAAGTCTTTTGCTTTCGTAGTGAGGGATTTTCGTGTGCAAGTTCGGTACTAGTCCCTCTAGGATTTTCCAGGTATGTATAATAATAATATAATAATAATAATAATAATAATAATAATAATAATAATAATAATAATATCTTTATTTACTACATGTACAAGGTATACAGTCCTAGCTGACAACAATGACATACTACTTATATAGAAAGTCCCTTGTTATGCTCCGCATGTCTGGCAAATTAGGTCAGTGTCCCAGGATGCGACCCACACCAGTCGACTAACACCCAGGTACCCATTTTACTGATGGGGAACATAGACAACGCCCAGTGTTTCTACTCTGGCTGGGAATCGAACCCAGGCCCTCGCCGTGTGAAGAGAGAGCGTTAGCCAGAGACCTATAATCTATCTCTCCCGCCTGCGTTCCAGAGTATACAGGTTCAGGAACTTCAAGCGCTCCCAGTAATTGAGGTGTTTTATCTCCGTTATGCGCGCCGTGAAGGTTCTCTGTACATTTTCTAGGCCAGTAATTTCACCTGCCTTGAAAGGTGCTGTTAGTGTGCAGCAATATTCCAGCCTAGATAGAACAAGTGACCTGAAGAGTGTCATCATGGGCTTGGCATCCCTAGTTTTGAAGGTTCTCATTATCCATCCTGTCATTTTTCTAGCAGCTGCGATTGATACAATGTTATGGTCCTTGAAAGTGAGATCCTCCGACATGATCACTCCCAGGTCTTTGACGTTTGTTTTTCGCTCTATTTTGTGGAAGGAATTTGATTTATACTCTGATGAAGTTTTAATTTCCTCATGTTTACCATATCTGAGTAATTGAAATTTCTCATCGTTGAACTTCATATTGTTTTCTGCAGCCCACTGAAAGATTTGGTTGATGTCCGCCTGGAGCCTTGCAGTGTCTGCAATGGAAGACACTGTCATGCAGATTCGGGTGTCATCTGCAAAGGACACTGCGCTATGGCTTATATCCCTGTCTATGTCTGATATGAGGATAAGGAACAAGATGGGAGCAAGTACTGTGTCTTGCGGAACAGAGCTTTTCACCGTAGCTGCCTCAGACTTTACTCTGTTGACTACTACTCTTTGTGTTCTATTTGTCAGGAAATTATAGATCCATCTACCAACTTTTCCTGTTATTCCTTTGGCATGTATTTTGTGCGCTATTACGCCATGGTCACACTTGTCAAAGGTTTTTGCAAAGTCTGTATATATTACATCTGCATTCTTTTTGTCTTCTAGTGCATCCAGGATCTTGTTGTAGTGATCCAGACAGGAGCGAAATGCTCTAAATCCATGCTGCCCTGGGTTGTGTAATTGATGGGTATCTAGATGGGTGGTGATCTTGCTTCTTAGGACCCTTTCAAAGATTTTTATGATATGGGATGTTAGTGCTATTGGTCTGTAGTTCTTTGCTGTTGCTTTACTGCCCCCTTTGTGGAGTGGGGCTATGTCTGTTGTTTTTAGTAACTGTGGGACGACCCCCGTGTCTACACATATGCTGCTATATATGATAATTCTATGTAACTGTATTTGTGTATACCCGAATAAACTTACTTACTTACTCCCTCTCCATAGGATGGAAAAGGCTCGTGATAGGGGCTTCTTGCAGTTCTTGATGAGCACGGAGTTCCATGAGTCTGGCCCTGGGGCAGAGTGCATGGGCATGTCATTTATCGCCTGTTCGAAGTCATTTGGCGTCAGGATAACATCGGATAGGCTTGTGTTAATCAAATTTTGTGGCTCTCTCATAAAAAATTCATTTAGATCTTCGACTCTCAGTCTGGTTAGAGGCTTGCTAAAAACTGAGTCATATTGGGACTTGAGTAGCTCACTCATTTCCTTGCTGTCATCTGTGTAGGACTCATCTTGTTTAAGTAGGGGCCCAATACTGGATGTTGTTCTCGACTTTGATTTGGCATAAGAAAAGAAATACTTCGGGTTTCTTTCGATTTCATTTATGGTTTTTAGTTCTTCCCGCGATTCCTGACTCCTATAAGATTCCTTTAGTTTTAGGTCGATGTTTGCTATTTCTCTGACCAGTGTCTCCCTACGCATTGCAGATATATTGGCCTCTTTTAGCCGCTCTCTTATTCTTTTCCTTCACCTGTTCAGGGAGCGCCTGTCTCTTTCTATTTTACATCTACTCTTCCTTTTTCTTAAAGGAATATGCCTTGAGCATACATCGAGTGCCACAGAGTTAATCTGTTCTAGGCATAAGTCGGGGTCTGTGGTGCTTAAGCTATCTTCCCAGCTTATATCATTTAGGACTTGGTTTACTTGGTCCCACTTTATGTTCTTGTATTGAAGTTGAATTTGGTGAAGGCTCCCTCGTGACTGATCACATTTTATCTGTCTGGGGCTCCGCGCATACATGTCTGAACCTCGATTATGTAGTGATCTGAGTATATTGTTTTTGTTATAGTGACATTTCGTATCAGATCATTATTGTTAGTGAAGATGAGGTCCAGTGTATTCTCCAACTTAGTAGGCTCTATTATTTGCTGGTTTAAGGTGAATTTTGTGCAGAGATTTAAAAGCTCGTGTGTGTGTGTGAGTTCTCGTCATAGCTGCCTCCTGGTGTTATCACTGCAACAACATTATTTGCTATATTCCTCCATTTTAGGCGCCTTAAGTTGAAATCCCCCAGGAGCAAGATGTTGGGAGCAGGAGCTGGAAGATTTTCCAGACAGTGGTCAATTTTTAACAGCTGTTCCTGGAATTGTTGGGACGTTGCATCCGGAGGCTTTTAAGCTACTACAATGACCAGATTTTGGTTCTCGATCTTTACTGCCGAAACTTCAACTACATCATTTGAGGCATTAAGCAGTTCTGTGCAAACAAGTGACTCTGCGATATACAAGCCAACCTCCTTCCCTTTTGCCTGTTCACTCTTTCGCATCTGTATAGGTTGTAACCCGGGAGCCATATTTCGTTGTCCAAGTGATCCTTTATGTGGGTCTCTGTGAAAGCCGCGAACATTGCATTTGCCTCTGCAAGCAGTCCACGGATGAAAGGTATTTTGTTGTTCGTTGCTGACTTTAGACCCTGTATATTTGCAAAGAAGAATGTCATCGTATTGATGGTATTGGTGGTACTGGGGGGGGGCTTTTTTTCCTGGCACTAATATCTGTATCTGTTGGTTTGGAGTGGAGACCATCAACTGTGATTCCACCCCAGAAATGGTTGGATTTGGTGTACGATTTGTGCCATTTCTTGGCAGTTTTTTTTTTTCCTTCCTGGCACTAAAAAACCTCTCCCTCTTGAGTGGCTGTGGCTACCCAGGTTTTCCCATGGCCTGGATGTTTTGTATCTTTTTGTTCCCTTTAGATGGTATACCTGGCAATTTAAGTTATAGCACTGTCTTTCGTGTACTGAAGAGGGACACATTTCAGGGTGAAAAAGCTTACAGGAAGGGAGTTTGCATTTTCCTGTTGTCATATGGGCACGGCATTTTCTAGGGTGGTCATAGTTGCACGTCCCATCTGTTTTTCCAGATATCCCATGTCTGCAGATACCAAGTGCATAGTATGTGCACAGGCTTGGTTTCCGTTTGCCTTGGGTTTCTGTGACTGTATTCCCTGTTGGTGCATGTTTGCCTGTCTCATTCCTGTCTTCATCAGTTATTTCTGGTAATTTATCTTCACTATTTCTAGTGGAATTCCCTTGTTTGCTATTTCCTGTGGTATTGCTAGTTTGTAATATTGGTTTTATCTTGTCCTTGACTACACTTGTTTCTCCACTACAGCTCCTGTCTCCCTCGAGGCCAATAACATGCATTCCTCCATGCATGCAGTTACTGTCGGCCAGCCAGCATCTCCAGGCTTACAGTTCCTGACTACCTGGCCAGCATCCCCTGTCCTACAGTTACTGTCGGCCAGGACAGCATCTCCAGCCTTACAGTTCCTGACTACCTGGCCAGCATCCCCTGTCCTACAGTTACTGTCGGCCAGGACAGCATCTCCAGCCTTACAGTTCCTAACTACCTGGCCAGCATCTCCAGTCATACAGTTACTATCGACCAGGACAGCATCTCCAGCCTTACAGTTCCTAACTACCTGGCCAGCATCTCCAGTCATACAGTTACTAT